TTTTTTCTTTTTCAACTAAGACCAAAGAGAGAAGGGGGAAAAAATGAACATGCTGTTCAAACTTCGTGATCGTGATGCAACTATCCCACGGCGATCGAAGAAAAGCTGGATCGGATGAGCTGGGAGGTTTGGAAGAAAAAGAAGGGATGAGCGGGCTGTGCAATGGTTGTGGTTGGTTACTGCCAAAAAAAGACTGAGACCTAAGGGTTGTTTAGCTTCTGATCACCTACTGGGCTCCTTCGGGTAAATGAAGCCTGCCCTGTGCCTGCCCCTGCACTCTGCTCCAGCTGTATCCTGTAGGCTGTAGCGCTGGGTTCATCAACAGAACCCAGGCAGTTCCCGCTCTCCCCACTCAACAGATCCTAGCTTGGGCCCATCTTGGTTCTCAACTTAAGATTTGGCGATTCGATGGCTTTACGACAGCTCGCTTTCGCCAGTCAGCCCGGGTACTCTACAGTACAGTTCTGACTGTAGAGCCGAGAGGTGGATGGTTGTGAACGACCAAGGGTCTCGTGTTGCTACTGGCGTGTAACTTTAAGTGCGAGCCCTGTACAAAATTTGCTTCACAAATGCAACCGCCAACACCTGAGCTATCAGTACTGTACAGTCGATGTCGAGCTTATGGGCTTCCGAGACTTCTCGGGCGCTAGAAGAAACCAAGATCTGAGTGTGGCTACTAGTTGTTTGATCCTGGGAACTGGAAAGCATCGTCATGCGTCAAGCATTGCTTGCTCCAAGCTCAATTCTCTTTGTGTGTTCAAGTCCAACTTAGCAAGCTCTGACTGACGACTGACAGTGCTGAAGCCTGAACCTGTTCCGATACCCACCGTTCTTTTGTCTCAGAAGCTTGGCTCTTGGCTCTTGGGATCCTCCTCCCGCAGGTCCCGTCCCTTTCTTTCTCTTCCCTTCCCATGTGTCGTCTTAGAGGGGCATCCGATTCCCTGTCAAGGGTTCCGCCTGTCTGGATCACCAATTTGGCCTTTGTCGGCACGGCTCCGATTATATTGCGATGGCCACCCCCGGCAGTTGTTCAGCCATAAGATGCTGTCCATCGCAGCTAACGAACGCCTGACGATGCCTTGATGTGATTGCAGCTTCAGGAGATCGTGGAGTTGCCTGCAAGGACGACATCAATCAATTAATTAATCTGATTCCGATCTTGATTCCCTTTCCGTTCCCCAACTCCCCGGCCGATGGTCAGGTACATTGTTCTCTTCAATTGGTTCTTCCAGATTGAGTTCCACCAATGGCCAAGCGTGGCATGTCTTCCCTACCCTTTCCTGTACTTACCGCACGATGCCGTGGCACTGTGGCAGTAGGAAAGAATCACTCGATGCCACGCAACCTTGGCTCTAAGAACTCCCACGCAGACAGGCATGCAGGCGGCTAGCATAGGATTGGAAGCTGTGGATTTGGCGAGCACAGAACAGTCACCTGGCGAGGCCCAATGAGGGCAAGACAAGAATGGAAATGGAAACAGGGAAACGAGATCAGTACAGATACCACATAGACAAATGCGGTGCTCAACATAACAACATCCCATTGCGTTCGAATCGCTATTTGATAGTGCCGGTTGTACGGAAGACAAGCTCCGCGGACCTGAAAGATCAATGGGACTGGAAAGCAACTCCAAATAGGTTTTAATTGAAACAAAAGATTGTTTTGTTTTGCTTTGCTAGTTCTAACTGGGGGTTCGTTATCAGAGATCGCGATCTCTGAGTCTGAGACGGTCGAAGCATGGGTTCAAAGGGGAAATGTCTTGACAGCGGATTGTCTAGTCTCAAAACGATCGACCTACCAAGCCCCGCGTCGCGCTATCGGTGTGTTGCAAAGGACAGGACTCTTGACTATCGAATAGAAACAAACTCCATCCGTCTCATCCTTGCCGAGCAGGAAGAGTTCAGTCTCAATTCTCAAGCAAGTGCGCTGGCATTGGCATTGTATAGCTGCTACACAACAGGAGCATGCAGAGTACCATCTTATCTGCCATGGTTGCTGTGCCGGTCAAAAAGAGGGACCCTCATTATGCAGTCGAGATGCATAAGCTTCAGGCGAGACCAGTCTTTTTGAGTGAGACAAACAGGGCCTGCAGCAACAGTAGGAGCAGAATGGCATGATAAGAGCAGGGTGCAGCGATTTTCACAAGACCAAGGGTTCTTTGCGTGGAATTCTGGGGTTAACAACAAAGTCCGATCGGACAATATTGGCCGTCGGATGAATAGAAGCCCATCGTCGCAGGCTAATGGATCGAATGGTTAACCTTTTAGGACATGGATAACAGACAGGGTCATGCTGGCCGTGCCCGGCGATCACGAATGTAGGAGGATTTCATCAGAATTCGACAAATGTTTAGTAATTGCTAACAAATGCCAATTCAGACTTCCAGGGCAGAACAACTTTGTTGAACTCGGCGCTGCTTAGCACGGAAGTTAACGAGAGGCGTTATCTATCCTTACTGTGCAGGCGCAAAGTAGCAGTAGGCTTATGTATACTTGAAGCCTGAGATCCTTCAAGTGCGGCACAGGGTCAATACACTGAGGCTATGCTGTTTAGACAGTGTTGAGTCCTTATTCGTGAATCTCGACAGACAGGCCTGGTGTTCCCAGATTCTGGTGTCTCTGTGAGGGATGATGAAAATATTTTGAAACAATGGTGTCAACTTGACCGTAATGGATCTCTGGGTGAGATTGTCTCCCCGTTCATCCAAGGTAGCCTGCAACCAACCCAGCTCAACTCGGGCTCGGGCCCGAGTCCGTTCACTAAACACAGGCTCTCACTCCCTTGAACTACCACTACCCGAGGGGGGAAGACGTTACCATCTACAGTCGTGCATTCCCTTGCCTCCGGTCACTATGGTTGGCCTGTTGCAAGCCCAAGCGGGGAAGTCCAATTCCTGCCGGACTACCTATCAGTCCAGCGAGGTACAGCCACTGGGAAGAGGCCCGGAGGGATACCGGTGACCCAGTAACTGCCCAGCTACCTCAGTAGCACTGTACCTAGTCCAGGTTGATGTGACTCCCTGGGTCCTGAAATGCGGAACCTGAAGTCGATGGATGGGCCCCTCCTTTCCCCCTCTGCTGGGTTCCCGTCGATACGGGGCGGTACTTGTACCTTGGGCCTAGCGCTAACAGAGAGCTCTTGATCGAGATCGATCGTCATAACTACGCTCGATCCAACGACTTTGATCGCCTTCGGATCGAGCTACATGCTTTTCCCGCGTCTGCAACCTGCCAGAGCATGTCGCTCTCCTCGGCTTTGCTTTCGGCCCTGGTCGTATATATAATCCAAGCCATATCCCAAGCCCATTCGGAGGAACCTTTATTGCACAAAAGTTTTTTTCTTCCTTGAACTGGTGTCACGCAAAACCTTTGTCGATTCAACATAACTTTATACGAAAGATACCTTTCCAACCAAACCTTGTAGCTGCAAACCGGTATAAATCATCAGTGTTTCCCCGACTTCAGTTCAGGGTTACTACATGCTCGATCATCTCCGGCTAGCATTTTACACCTCACGAACAGCCGGCGAGCATCATTTTATAACATCTACCGCCAAATATATTATTTGTTGTTTTCCCGGAATCTAGACTCACAAATAGTCAAACCAACAACCTTGCACATATTTATCTACATATTTGTTTTTGGTTTATCTGCTCTTGGTCTTACTCGCCCGTTTATTACACTTCTACACAACTTAAAATGCCCAAGAGATCACTCGACGTCGCCAACATGGGCGGTCCCAACGCTAAGCCTGCGCCCGCGCGAAAGGTAAAGGCACTTACCCCTCTGTGGATGTACATATACATGAATCGGCTGGCTAACGGTTATTTTGCAGACTGAGCGATCCCACGAAGAGAACCAAGAGCGAGCATACATCGCTGCCTCAAGACGAGCAGACCGATCTATTGAAGCTCGTGTTCAGTCCGCCAAGATGGCCAGCGAAATCCACAAGAAACGAACGGGAAAGGCCTTCCGTATAACGGAGGAGATTGTTATGAAGGAGGAGATGTACGAGGAGGAAGACGATGACTTCCCTCGATCTTACCGACTTCTTAAATCCAACATGCAAACTTCCAGCGCTGAACTCAATGCGAGAGTGGATGCCTACCTTACAAACCGAGTGGCTATGTCACAGCTTCTATCTGCCACCGAAACTGACTGGCGCAACAACGAGATCAACCAAACTTTTGCGCAATTCTTTCCACAGGCCCAACGCCAAGCTCAATCAATGTCGCACCGCTGGTCAACACCAGGCTATCCAGTGCCTCAACCACAAGGCAGCCACGTTACAAGCCCGATGGAGCAACAGTTTGACCCAAACTTCCAGGCCGTCAACTACGCACAGCGACCAAACAGACATGATGAGCGCAGTCACTCCATGTCTGGTTTGTCTCCCACCGATTCAAGGAACGATGCTCCCTTATCGCCACCCGCTCTTACTCCAGGCTCAGGTTCTCATCCCCAGACGCCCCAGTCCCGTTGCGCATCCACCTTCACAAATGTGCAGCCCCCACCTATGATGGACTTTAATCACGAGAGTTCCGCATTCACCACAGAACTTCCCGCCGAGGCTAAGATGCTGCTAGGTGGCGTTGGCTTGAATGACACGTTCAGTCCTGCTATGTACGGCGAGCAACAGAATTGGGGTGCTCAGCAGTCGTTTGGCTATGGCGATGAGCCTAAGTACTTCAAGGACGAGGATGCTGAGCTTGGTGCAAATAGTGAAAAGTATCCCGATGTACTTGACACGATGAACTGGGGTGCCGGTGACTTCAACACACCGACCAAGCACTATACCGAGGAGCCCTCCTGGGATTCTTTCCTCAACGATACAGTATGGAGCACCGAGCAACAGCAATAATACGCCGCTCAGGAAACTCTACGACCATTTTCTTAATGATTTTATGATACTCTTTCCTGCGACTAAAGAGTAGTTGTCAACAATTATCACAACGACACTGCTCGTCTGCTCAACTTGTCTGAGCAAGCAAATCAATGTTTACGGTGTTATTTGACTTACTTGGGTACACCCAGGGAAAATGGGATTCGGAGGCATCTTGGCTGCATTTATTAGAATCGCATAAGGCTTCCGCCGGTGTTTGGAGTGGGGAATATTGTATTTACGATGGGATACCTGTTACATGCAAGAGCGGGCGCAAAGATCGCATCCCCAGTACCGCTCAGCAAGGAACTGAAATAGCGTTTTCTTGCAGCTTACTGAGCATTGTTCTTTTTTGCATTCCTCTTTGGTTGATATCCCGCTGGAGCTGTTGACTTGCATTTTGAGATATCCTTGGTGAGAGTGGCATTCTTGCACGTAGAAAAGGCGCAAGAAAGGCAGAAAGTCTTTGAACGACATTTAAAATTAATAAAATCGATGGATATACATATTTATGATTTGCAAATCGGTGATGGGTAACTTGAACCACTTGACGTATAGACTGGCCTGTTTTTGATTCGACATAATATCAAGCTTGAACTCTTGCATGTGGTTCTGTTCAGTCATATCAGAGAAACCAGTGCATTTCCCTTGGGCGTAGAGTTGAGTCAAGTCAAGTCAAGTCCAGGTGAGCTGACACCATTAATCTAGGTCGGCATACCCTCGTGCGTGAGGGACTGAGTTTTGCAGGTGCAGCATGGGAGGAAACCCATCATCTGCTTCGAAACTGGTTAGATTGAAATGATGGCCATGTGCGCTAATGATTGGTTTATTCAGGGTTGGGGCTACTGGTGAAGTGAGATGAAGCAGCCTACAGTACTACTGACTGCACTATAGGTGTGCTATCGCTTCAAGTGGTTGAGCAGCATCCATGCGTCGATCATATGCCGTAGCTGTGTTTTTGTTGTAACACAGATCGAAGTTCTGTAACGGATACGCAGTAAACTATGGCAGATAGACTATACCAAAACGTTTGATTGACGGATAGAGTTGGATACACGCAACGGGCTTGTAGTATAATTTTGTCGAGATATTCTTCGTCCAGTATCAAAACTGTAAGGTAACGACCATTTTCTTCTCACCCCGCCAATCCGGAGTATCTCTGCCCGGCCGTTTAAGCGTAGACCTGGTATGTGCACATGGACAGGGCGCCGAGCCAGGTACCACAGGTAACCGTTAATATGGAAGGCATGGAAGGTAGAGTGAATTACCTACAGTAGGTAGTACCTAGGTAGGTACGGAGTGGTAGCCCAGAGTCAGAGCCTAGAACCCACCCCGCCAAAAACGTCACCACCACCACCGCCCGCTTCCTTTCTTGACTTTTGCGACTCAGTCTGCAACCCCAGACTTGGTTTATTTTTTCTCCTCCTCCATCCTCATACGTAGCATAACTACAAAGAAACCGTGCTTCCATCTGTCACTCTGCCGGAAAGGTCTTGCGTTTTCGGTCACATCAATCATCTGCTACGTGTCGTCCCGAGCTTCATAACTGAACCGCTATCCATATTATCATCCACCACCGCACTCAGCATCTTCTTTCTCCAACTCAAGCTTATCAACGACCATGTCGTCATCGACACCGCCACCCACGGTCGACGCGCCCGACGAGCAGCAGAGCGACACTTCCAAGTTGCGAACATTTCTGGGTATCTTGAAGAAGTAAGAGACTCACCACCATTCATTGGCGATAGCGCCATGCTGCGACAGCTTCCACCGCTTTGTTGGGGACAGGCACCGCGCTGCCCCAGCGAGCGAGATCGGAAGCCAACTCCGCTCCATATACAACGGAGTAAGCAAGCGATGGGAGCACCACTAGATCAGCCATCGATCTTACGACATACATGACATGATGGGGAATGCTATTCATAGTTTTCAATGCTGACCGCTCATAAAAATGACAGATTCATCGGCGTTTCGGACCTTGCAGCAGTTAGATTCTCGCTGCCGTCACAGTTGCTCGAGCCTACCCCGAACCTCGAATACTGGACCTACATCGATGCCCCCAATGCCTTTGTCGCTATGGGCACCTCCGATGATCCACTCGATCGCATGCTTGAGGTGGTGCGCTTTTGGTTGACCAAGGATTTAAAATACGCCAAGGGAAGGCCATGCAAGCCTTACAACTCTTGCCTCGGTGAATTCTTCAGGGTGCGTGAGCTTGCCATGCTCTCATATGCAAACGAAAGAGCATTCCACAGTCCTGACAACAGAAGTACTGACCCCAATGTAGTGCAACTGGGAAACTGAAGACAACGCCCCGAGAATCGATACAACCAACCTCAAGCAGGAGAAGGGCAGTTCCAAGGGTGGCCTTTCAGCATTGAAGGCATCAGCTAAGAGCAGCAAGAACACCTCGAACGTCTCGCTTTCTGTGCCTCAACATGGCGCTACAAAGGACGAAAAGCTCGTCCGTGTTTCGTATCTTACCGAACAGACATCGCATCACCCGCCCGTGAGCGCCTTCAACGTCACCTGTCCGGAAAAGGGCATCACAGCCCGCGGCTTCGACCAGATCACTGCCAAATTTACAGGCACCTCGGTCAAGGTCCTTCCTGGTGAACACAATATGGGTATCTTCATCACCCTCGACAAGCGAGATGGCGAGACATACCAGCTTACCCACCCGGCGGCGCATTTGGGCGGCCTGCTCCGAGGTGCCTTGAGCGTCTCGGTCAGCGAGTTCGCTTATATCACTTGCCCCAAGACCAAGATCAAGGCCATTCTGCATTACGTGGAGGAAGGTTGGCTGGGGCGCACAACCAACAAGATCGACGGTGTCATCTTCAAGTATGACCCCGAAAACGACGATAAGTCACGAGTACAGGACGTTCCTGATGAGGATGTTCTCGCTCGGTTGAGCGGCCCATGGAAGGAGAGGGTCGTATTCACTCTCGGCCCTAGACCTGTTGTAAGTGAACGAGTTGCCCTGCACGTGAGCAAAGCTAATAATAGTAGAAATCCGTCCCTGTTGAAGAGCAATTCGTCATTATTGACATCGCTCCTCTCAACGTCGCACCTAAGATTCTCCCTCCCAAGGAGAAGCAGCTGCCCAATGAGTCCCTGACACTTTGGGGTGGTGTCACAGACGCCATTCACGCCAAACAATTTAGCAAGGCCACACAGGTGAAGGTCGAGCTAGAGGAAGCTCAGCGCGAGAAGGCTCGTCAACGTGAGGCCAACAATGAGACATGGCAGCCTGTGTTCTTTAAGCATGTCACGGGCAATGATGGCAAGCCCGACCTGACCGATAAAGGTCGCGAGGTCCTTGACCGAGCCCAGAAAGGCGACTGGTCGCTCGAGGGTGTCATGTAGACGGGCCCTTGCTTCGCCTGTTGCCAAGGGTTTGATTGTCAGGTGGTTTTGATTTGCGAACGTGGGCAATCGAGAGGAACTCGAAAAATCCAATCGTTGGAATTGTTATAGGAAGTTGGTTTCTTTTGAACTTTTTCCGTGTCAGAACGACACTACTGGGATAGAGCTTCATTGCGCCGGAGAGTTGGACGGGGATGGTCTTTGTATCAGAGGTTGATAGACCCCGATAGTGGATGCATGGCGGGTTTGCGCACTCGTTATTTGGAGTTGTGGGAGTTTTCGAGGCTTGGGATTATTGCTGAACTAGATAGCAAGATTCTCGTCACAATTCATATCATCAACTACAAATCATCCATTCTAAAGACTGAAGCAAGCGTTGTGGTTTAAACTCCAACTCTTTTCACATCACTGTAGGGTATAGGGGCACAGGTGTAGAGTCAACATGATATCGTTACACATATCTTAACATGCATTTGATCTCGACGGATCTTATCCTATAGTACAACAAGAGTGGCAATTCCTATTTTTTACACATCATTTCTGAACCGAAGACTCCTCTGCTCTTCCCTCTTGTGAAAAAACTTTTCATTATACCGAGCCGTCAACCATCTAAGCGTCGATGAAAGCCTTGACGTTGTTCAACCACCGAGTGTACTCACGCTGCTCCTTGACGTCGACGTAGTCGGGAACAAAGATGGCGAGAGCCTGGGTGATGCCACGCTCCTCAAGGAAGCGCTCCATGAGGACCTGGAGGTCGTCATCGAGGCTCCCGAAGGGAGGTCCGGGGTAGACGTCGGCACGCTTCTGGGCGGCCTCGGGGGACTCGACCTTGGCAACCTTGGCGTCGTCGTAGTAGAAGAGGTTCTCGACTACAATGTGGCCGTCCTGGGCGGTGGCATCAATGTTGAGAGCGCCAGAGGCCTTGCCAGGCTTCTCGACAACAATAGACAGGTTGATGGGGGCGGCGTTCTCCTCCTCAGCTTCCTCATCGAGCTCCTCCTCGAGCTCCTCGTTGGCACGGGCGTTGCGCTGGCCGCCCTGGGCCTCGCCCTCGAAGCCTTCCTCCTCGAGGCCGTTCTCCTCGGCGTAGGGGTCGTAGCTAGTGATATCGGCGATAGAGAAGCTGACAGTGATCCTGGAATAGGTGTTAGTCATAGTCCCATCAAGATCAATTGCGATTGCAGAAACTCACTTCTCGTCGCCAAAGTTGCGGACCAGCTTGACAACCTCCTGGCCGGGGGTGTCAATAAGCTCGAAAGCACTGTTGTTAAGGAAATCCTTGATGCTGGCAGGGTCCTGCTCATCGGCCTTCATGTCCTCCTCGATCTTGATCTCGCTCTCAAGCTTGGCCAAAAGCTCGCCATCGTTCTCGGCGGCCTTTCGGAAGATTGTGGTGGAGAAAGCGGCCTGGGCAGGTCGTAGGGCAGAAGTAGCCTTGATAAAGGTGCTGGGACGGGCAGTCTGTCGCAGAGCGGCACCTGAGAGGCGGGAGACGACGCGGGGCGCCGATCGGACAGCGTTGCGAGCAGAAAACATTGTGATTAGATTATTTGGTGAGTGTTATAGTAGGGTACAAAGCGTTTGTGAAGGAAGAAAAGGAGGGTATCGTTGTATGAATTGGAAGAGATTGATGCTGTTGATACACGGACAGTGATAGAAGCTTCTACAGTAAAGCTTCGTCTTGAATTTTTTGGGGACGACAAGTTACTGGCGGGCTCAGGTCAGTTAGCTAACAATTTACTGGGCCCAGACTGGACGATCCTTCTGGCCAAAGCGGGGCATTACTATCACGTGGCGAAGAGGAAACTGAATTACATTACCCAGGTAGGTACCTCCTAGGCAATGGCATCAGAAAGAACAAGAGATTTATAGAATCAGGCAAGTGCATGTTTAGAAGCTAAAGGGGTTATGAATTCATGTCTCATTATGGTATATATGTGGTAGTAAGCTAGAAAGAACTCGAACTCTTTGTAAACTACCGGACAACAGCCTCAATATGCAGTCCCGGCGACTGAATCACTCATCCTGTGAGAGGACTGCCATCAGTATTGCATGATCTGAGAACATATCTGCCCTTCTTAGCCATGCTTCTGTACTGGCCACGCAACAGCGTTGTTCGCCCTGGCAGCCTTGACTTTTCGTGAGTCTCACTAAAGCTAGTTTGAAACTTGCATTTGTGAATAATCGAGCAGGGCCATCATCTGGCCAGAAATTTGGGGTCCGTGGTGCATAGTTTCTGAGATCTGGGTCTGTATGCCTGGTAATTGATAGTATTAGATCATACCATTCTTGGGCAACTGTTGCCCAAGTGGTCTTGAAATAACGAGTAGATGGCCGAGGTTGCCGGAGCACAAGATGACCAGCTAGGTGGAACTTCCTTGCTTTCTTCAAGGCGGTTTGAATTGAAGAGTGCTCAGTTGGTTCCACCTGAAGGGAAAGCTGTAGACCGAACCTGACCTTCACTGTTGACCTTGATCCATTTCAGGTGAGTGAGATATGACCAAGAACCTTCCCAGAGGTGAAGAATGTTGACGTTGTGGCTATCCAGCAGATCAGGTATAACTATGAATGAGGTCAGTACTGATACGAGGTACGTCTCGAGATGACAATAGCTTACCAAATCCACCCTTGTACTCTTCCTCAAGAATGTTAATCTTGGCCTTGAGAAGGTCCTCCTTAACACTAGCAGGTCGGCCAGGACGACGGGTCTTCTTGGCTGCATCATACTCTTCATCGTATTGATGAACAAAACTACCACTTTAGTTGGCTTTTTGTTCCATGTAGGATTCTTGTCATACTCACGAGTCAATCATGATCTGGATCTCTTCAAGGCTTGGGACAGCGTTGCTTTCTTTGTCTTTCAGGCGTAGTGCTTGCTGGAAGAAAGCAACACGTTCGACTAAGGTCATGTTAGATATCATGGTTATGTATGACTTCATCAAGTACAACTTACCGAGTGGTTGTTCCTTTTTGCTCCTAGCAGCAGCCAGCTTCTCAATACGCTGATCTCTTACACCGGCCTTGTGAAGACGCATGGAGTCTCTGGACTTTTCATGAAGGGCGTTGACGACACCATTTCTCTTTTTTGAGATTTGCTTGCGCGTCTTGTGAAGTGTGGTAGGCATCTTGAGTTATTATAAATCCTTTTTGTTTTCAATGAGAAAGATGAAAAGTTGCAGTCGTTTCTGAAATGAACTGTATCGTTGCTGTGACTAGCAAGGATTTTTTCTTCTGGTCTGGAAGCTTTGGTGCTCCACACACTGTAGTCGTGGGAGCCAATAAGGTAGCGGGTTCATGTCGGTTAAAGCAGGACCCTGACTTTACTTTACGGATACATCGAATATCAACTTTATCAGATTAACGGATTAGTTGATCGGTATTGAACTTGCAATACAGTTACAGTCTTGGTCCGATACAGCTTCATTGATATGATTGTCGAATTTGTAAATGAACAAGATATGCTGGGTTGGAAGGGTAAAGGAATACATACTATCCATTCTCTCTGCTAAATGTATCCCCTTCAAGTATTGATGAATACTATTAACGAAGAACAGAAGCAAGCCATAAGCTTGATCGACATATTGCTTGCTCCTTATCATGCCCTGAATCGCAATGGATGTAGATTCGTGGTGGATCTCGAGTTGCTAGGAGCAGCGGGAGCTAGCTTTTTCCAGGGGTTTACAGTGGTTAATGGATTGGAGTATCACGCCTATTAACGCGCCTAGTTCCATTAAACTACAACTCCAGGGGGTCGCGTTCTAGCCAAGGCAGCTGAGTGGAGGGGAAGGAAGCACTCTAAATTAGTCCAGTACAGTACATTGCCTCATCATCTGGGCTTAGGTACCTAGGTAGGTAGGTGCTAGGCAAATTATCTCTCCCGCTTTGGGACATCTCGATTTCAACAACAATCTTGGCCTTGGACTTCACCTCGTACCTAGTCTAGGTACTGACGAGATTACCGATTGTATTGCTTTACCAAATTGCTTGACTCTGCTCCCACCTGTGTACTCCTCCTCTTCTGTCAGTTTAGATACTACCGCCATCGATAATCAAACCCTGCTGCACGATCCTGCACCGCGTGCATATCAACCAACCTTTCGACGCGTCTGCAAACCACAACACAACAGAGCATATCGCAGCCCATACTCATGTCCGATTGTTGACGCATGCAACACCAAGATCTGTTGGCCTGAAGCTGCCCAAGTCCCTGCTGGGGCAGCAAGTCCAAAGCTCAACCGTTCGTTGTCGCCACCATCTTTGACGCGGCTCATTATTCAACATGGGCGTATCTGGTAAGGCTTCTTACATCTCACTTGAGCCTCCTCCTACTGACCTATGACCAGGGCTTCTCCCCCTTCTCAAATCTATACAGAAGCCAATTGAGCTCAAAAAGTACCATGGCCAAACGTTCGGCGTCGACGCGTATGGGTGGCTCCATCGTGCCGCCTACTGCTGTGCCTTGGAGCTTGGTCAAGATAAGCCCACACAGAAGTAAGTTATTTGTTTATACCAAATGTACTAGCAGAGTATATTGACCTCTCAATAGGTACCTGAATGCTGCAATGACGCGGGTTCGCATGCTTCGTCATTTTGGTATTACACCTTATATGGTGTTCGATGGTGACTTTCTCCCCAGTAAAGCTGCAACGGAGGATTCTCGCGCCAAGAAAAGAAATGAGAAAAAGAAGATGGCCATGGAATTGTTGCGATCTGGGAAGCCTGCGCAGGCTACACAAGAGTTTCAGAAGTGTATCGACATCACCCCCGAAATGGCATCGGCTCTTATTCAACTACTCAAGAAGCTCGATATTCCTTACGTTGTCGCCCCTTACGAAGCTGACGCTCAGCTTGTGTACCTCGAACGACAGGGCCTCATCAACGGCATCATCTCTGACGACTCAGATCTCCTCGTCTTCGGAGCCAAGAAGCTTCTGACCAAGCTGGACCAGTATGGCAACTGTATTGAAATCAACCGCAAGGACTTTTGCGCATGTCGTGAGGTTTCATTAACTGGATGGTCTGATACCGAATTTCGACGAATGGCAATCTTCAGTGGATGCGATTATCTGGATGGACTCCCAGGCGTTGGCTTGAAGACGGCATACCGTATGCTTCGCAAAACTAAGGCCCCAGAGCGGATAGTGCGCATGGTTCAGTTTCAGGGAAAGCGGGTATCGGAAAACTACTTGACGCAGTTCTACCAGGCCGAGTTGACGTTCCTGCATCAATGGGTGTTTTGTCCTACCAAACGTGAGCTGGTCCATCTCACGGAGCTGGATGGAACACGGACCGCGGATGAGATGCCGTTCATCGGTGCTTTTGTCGAGCCCGAGACAGCGCGTGCCATCGCCAGAGGCGATATGAACCCCATCACCAAGACTATGATAATTAATACAACAGCAACGACTCCCTCAAAGAGAAGGCATTCGCAGCTAGGTACTAATGCCGTGGACCAACCTCGGCCGGAGATGAAACCTATCAGTTCTTACTTCAGGGGACACAGCCGAATACCCATGGGCGAGATGGACCCCAATTGCTTCGAAGTCGATCCCCAAAGAATTTCGCAGATTACTGGAGGAGGTTTAGTGCCTCGTGTATTCCCACTTCCGAGACCTTATTTGGATGAAACAGGTCGGTCAGCCTCAAGCGGTTCCCAACAGTCTGAAGCCAACCATGCGCGTACATCACCACGACTTCACCGTCGCCGTACTGAGCCTGTCTCCAATTTGATCAGAAGTTTCAGCGATGCTTCCACTACCACGAGGCGCACGCCTTCTGTCAGCACTAAACCTAGCTCTTCTGCGCCATCAAACGACCCTGCCAGTCGACCGCCCAAGAAGGCGCGTCTGTGTGAGGATAATGAGATGGGCCCCGATGAGGCTCTACCACCACAAAAGAGCAAGTTCTTCCCAGTACCTCAAACAAGGAAAAGTCCAAGGCGAGCGAAGAGTGACGCCTACCTCTTATCCGACGATTCACTCGATGAGGCGCTTATGGCGTTGCCCGACTTTGACGGCTGGGAACCCGCTGACAAGACTCAGCGGGGCGTTTCGGTATTCGTGGAGAAAGAGAGTCAAGGGACTGCAACGAGTGCAGAAAGCGACCAGTTCTTATTCTCATTCTCCAAAGACAGTGAAACCCCTTTGTCATCCTTCGAGGGCTCTATGCCCCCGCCCTCCTCTGCCGCGTCTCTGTCGCAGACCTCAGCTACTCCCGCTCGACCAGACATTCGCAAATTCTCATATTCAAACCCGACAGAAACACCTGCTTCGGCTACATCGCAACGCTCTTCCGTCTTTAGTGCTGCATCCACCCCCTCTACGGCACCATCAACGGCTGCTTCCCGCATGACGCCTCTGCAACGTCTGGGAGCTCGTGCTATGAAGGCTCCAATGTCACCTAAGCTGCCCAAGCCACGCGACAGCTTTGATAGGCAGTTCCTTTCGGGTGTACCCGTCAACCCGGCTTTTGTGCCCTTGCCTAAGGTTGACCTGGAAGAGGTTGCAGACCTTAACAAATGTGGCAGTGAAGATCAAATCATCCCCGCAAGTGACGAGGAAGATGAGGACGAGGACGAAATTGACCTCCCGCCCAAGAAACTCAATCTCTCACGTTTTGCTTTCGTATAGAAATTATGTTACACTTCAACCATGCTTGCGTTGCAGCTAACAAGCTGTCTGGGTCGCGAATTGTCATTATGAACATAGCATTGATCGGGCGTTTTTTTGTTTTTACCCCCTTTTTTTATATTGCGGCTGTGGCATGAATAGCTGGGCTGCACAAGAGATGAGAATATCAATGTACTGAACTATGCAAGAAGCCCTGGAAGGGAGTAAGTAGAATATCGGATAGGCCTTTTGGCAATGTTATTTTGCCTCCTGAGGTCTGTAATACCTACCCAGGTAGATAACAGAAGAATTATCCACTAAAGCTTAGGCTTCTATAATAAAGTAGTCTAATTGCTAGTCTAAGCTAGCATAAAGTGACCAAGTTAGTTCATCTCTCATGCCTCTAGGGGCCAATTCTTCTGACACCATGGGGATACCCAACTTGAACTCCAGACCATGGCTTGTAGCCTGTGCTTGTTACAAACATTGACATCACTGTGCCCAGGCTTGCTCCTGGCGATTTCACGTGTGGCAATGTGCTGCGGCGTCGTAGTCAAACTTGAATAGTAGTTTCTTGAGGTCTGAAAAATAACTAATGTGTGATCGCAGTTCTCATTTACGTACCCGCTTGAGTGAATATCATAATCCATATCCTGAACCGCTGAAAACAACCATGCCATAACAAATCTATAAACCGGATCCTTCAAAGCTCCAGCAGCTCAACTATGATGCCGAAACCCCTGCACCACGCCAACGCCTTCTTCGGCAGCAGACCAACGCCAAGATTTCATGCTTCTCCAGTCTGCGAAAGTAGCAGATCACTATGACTGGCGATAACAGGAATGTGGAAAACAGTTCGTAAAGAAATGGTACATAATTGGGGTAACAGGTCAAAGGCACGTGAAGCGGTGAATCAGGGCGACAGCTCTGGGAGGAAAAGAAAGTCCTTGAGCAAATGTCGCAGCTATGGCTACCCTAATCCAATGCTTGTACACGACACGGGTGTTTGGTTAGCAAGCCAGCCGTTTCTGGCCAGACGGGGATGATGCATCGTAGTAGCTCCCCGAGTTTGGAACCACCCGTGCTGTTCTTGAAAACACATAATTCTATTAGAAATGCGCGCTCCCATATGCCCGCACCTCAGCGACGAGTAACAGGCGCGGAAGTAGCGGTGTCTAAGAGGTCTGCGTTGAAGTTCCATTCGCCTGAAGACACAAAGATGGTTAGCAAGACATTAAAACTGGTCGAAAGACAGGAGTGCACAAAGGGATTCAAAGGTGAATAAAAGGGAAAAGTACCTCTTGCCAGATTTTCGGCTGTGTCCTCGAGAAGAATAACACGACGCTTGTTGCAGTAGGAAGTTTTATCCATGATATCAACTTTGAGCTTGGGGTCAGACAATTCTGTGATGGGTTTCTCAAACATCTCAGACAAGTTCTCCACGGCCATCTCAAGGTCCTTCTGGTTATCCTCGAAGATCTCCGTCAAATTGTTTCTGGCAAGATAGAAAGCAAAGGCGTATGTCCACTTCAGCGTCTGTCGACATGTTTGAAGAGCCTGAGAAGCCGAATTGAGGTATTGAACTTCAATCCACGACATGCCCGAAGCACTCTGAAGCTGGACCATCTTCTTTTCGGTTTTCTGGGCAATATCCTTGTCAAGCTTGGCCGATTGTTCGTGGTTGGCGTAGCGATTGTAGTAATGCAGGTATCGCTCAAGAGATGTTCGGGATTTCGCCTGAGCGTCGCGAGCCTCGGAGCCGCTTTTCTCCTCGTATCTATTACAGTTGTACCAGCTGGTTCCGTGTTCGGACCAGAGACCCATACACATCCAGCAGAATTCGTATTTGCATTTGCGGCATGTCATATGGTTGCAACCTCCGTTCTTCTCGATAGTGGAGTTACACTTGGGGCATTCCTTAGTGTTGGCCGAGATCCAGTTGGCGGTTTCCGAATCATCGGCACACTTTTTCAACCATTTCTTGACCAAATCACAAGGTGCCGGTTGATGGTCGGGGTTCGGGCAGCCAAAGCAGAACCTGTAACCGCATCGACACTCGACAGTCGGAACAATCTTACCCAGATCTTTGGGCTTAACACCACATTCGAGGGCGTTGGGGCAGTCTGGGGCAGGACACCACTTAAAGTTGTCCTTGTCTTCGACATATGTTCTGTTGAGAAGTTCCTGGTATCGGTCTGCCAGGGCTGGAGTAACAAGGACATCAAGTGAAGCGGAGTCGAGAATGCGGCCACAGCCATCGGAGGGGCACTGGATTCTCGCTGCCTCGCCCTCCTCGCGAATCTTCTGTGTTAAGTAGTGGCGATAGCAGTCCACGCAGTAACGATGGCCACATTTTATGGCAAACGACTCGAGGCCCTCGTCGTCCTCACAGCATATGTCACATATGAAACCAGGAATGACTTCCAGCTTTGGTGAGCTAGACGTGTTGCTGCCCAATCCAGCAGCTTCCATAACCTTTTCTGGTCTGTCCATATAATCTTCTAGTAAGCGCTCCTTGTTCCACCGGAAATGGCGGAGCAAAATGGCAGCATCCTCCTTCTGCATGTCTAGAATCATATTGACTTCGCCGATCATCTCATCCTGTTGATTCTGGATATCGCTCGGTTCGTGGACTTTGCATGGCACCACATGGGCAGCTCTCTTCTTCTTCTCGACGTCTTTTGCGAGTCCAAAGTCAGGATCAGGCTCGTCAAACTCTTCATCATCAAAGTCTGTGATGTCAGCGTCATTAGTGTCATGATAGGATATGAGGAACCATTTGGGGTTTCGGGAGACGTACCATCACCTGCGGAGATCTCATCGCCGCTGTCGTCTTGCATTATCTCGTCGTCGGTCGAAAGAGCCGACATGTACTCGTCGTCGGAATCCATGGGGTTGCTGGCGGTGGTAACTGGAGTTGGAGGCAGCGCGTGTTTGTCTGAGACGGCAGCTGAGGCGATGACTTTCTTATTGGGTACTTCGTCTCTGTTGGCAGAGGTAATCGTCGCCTCAGCAGCCTTTCGCTTCCTCGTGGTGGGGGGAATCGTGGCGGTTTAAGGGAGGTTTTGAGGGGAGACCAAGGAAGGATGGATGTCTTAAGGATAAGGAGCAGAAATCGAAGGTGGCGTTGGCGTTTGGCGGCGGGTGACTAACTGCAGTGCAGTATATGAATAGGTACCTACCTACAGTAGCCTTGCGCGGTACAGGTGCTGGAATGTATGGGTTTGTGACGGAGAGTCGAGTCAGAGAGTCAAGTGAGGCCAAGAGGGGTGCCTATGACGGAGCCAGGGCCGTTGTATCGGGGATAGGCAGAAAAACGCTAGGAGGTAGTTAATCTGGGTCACTCAGATCCCTATTGAGGTCAGGAAATGGATCATTAAATAAGTTGTGTATTGGAAGGCACGAACTTGTCTTGATGGGTTGAGATGAGATAAGGAGGAAGGAGGAAGTTTCTCTCTGATATTTTGATTTTGAACAAGGTGGCGGGTGGAAAGACTTTAGATAAAACAAAGTCCAAGAATGGGATCAGATCTAAAGTCACCTTCAGTTGTCAGTTAACCGGACTGTCCGACCATGGACATTAGTGCGGGTAGGCGGGACGGTACGGTGGGGGAGATGGGCCGGAAGGCGCGATTAGAAGGCAGCAGAGTCGCGACCAGCTGAGACGACCTCAGGATATGGAAGGCAGCCTGATCTGTAATGGGGCTTATGTTAGGCAGGTTAGGCCGACAGATATTGAGACATGAACGTCGTTGCCAGGTGGGTCACGAATCTGTGGCTAGAGGGCTTCCATTGTGGCGAAGTCATCATTTCGAAACTGTCAGGTGGGTAACAGAAGAAATATCCTCTAGAAGGCTTGAACTACTATAATAAAGTAGCCTAAGTGCTAGTCTTAGTTGACATAAAGTGACTAAATTATTTCGTCTCTCATGCTCTTGGCGCCATTTCTACTGATACTCCAAGGACTGCACAATATCTTACTTATACCATCTACGTTTAAAAATTGCAATTGCAGACATTTGGTGAATTGTGTGCAATCCAGCTAAGTATATCAATAGGCCACTAACCAGCACCTGAACTAAGCATTCTTGTACGTGGTAGTAGGTGAACGCTGTATTTAAACGCAAGCCAAACTTTCTTAAACCCAAAACGACGTGAATATGCTGGATGCCTTGCATAGATCAATGTAGGATGCCCACTACCTTCCTATGTCCTTACTGCTATGAATTACTATGGCGATACTAGATTTCTGATTTGATTATATAAAGGAGACGGTTTAGACATTTATGACGAATTGTCAAGTATAGACTTATCGGAATAAAACCAGACCATATGTACGTTAGGTACATTAGGTACGTTATTAATGAAGCTGATAGATGATTAATGAGCTCTTTAGTGTCCTACTACGGCTATTTCATAACTGCCTTATCTGAATTGTTTTAAACTCGGTGTAGCTTAACACTATAAGAAGACTTTACTTACAATACATGTTTTCTTAAGCCCAGGCACCTACCTGGCCGGCTACCCTAGACCAGAGCATCCATGGATCGGCACGCAGCTTCTATATCAAGCTTAAGGATGCTGACACCGGGAAAAACGATATTGGGCGTCTGGAGACCATCTAGTTTTTACCATAGAGTTTCATTATAGTTATCAACTACGTGTGCCGTATTTGGGATCCTTACAGAGTGGTAGTGTTGGTGACTCTGAGATGTTCTAAAATTAGTGCCGCTATCTAATACTGTCAACTGACTATAAAAGAATATCCATTGAGTGTGTGATACAGTAAGAGAAAACGATGCAGATATCCCAGGAGCTTCCCCCGTCAATAGAAAACCATGCTGGCCGTGTGTTTGAGGAAGCGCTGTACATGCGGGATCCAGATTCATCTAAAAAAGCAAGCTTTCAACCCACTTCGAAGTTGTGACCTAGATCAAGATCCGCTAAACAGACTCACGATACTCCTGTACGCAAGAAAACAGCGACCAAGATTGAGGGCGTCTATTCATAAAATGTCCGGCGAGCCAATGATGTGCTGCCCATAACATGTTTGATTGAATAGCGGATGGCCTAGGTAGTGGCCGGTCTGTAGTTAGGGCAACCGGTCGTCAGGGTGTCAGAAGAATTGGCTGTCGAGAGCATAAGAGACGAAATAATTTGGTTATCTTATATCAGCTTAGGCCAGCGTCTAGGCTACTTTATTTCTGTAACCTAAGCGTTAGAGGGTAATTCTTCTGACGCCCATCTGCCGGTCCAACAAGAAACATAGAGCAGCTGCAACAAGAATGCCTCGCATTGACGCGCGCTTCTCGCAACAATTGCTGTAGGCCGTACAGTCGTCTCGCGTATCGCCAGAGTAGGCCACGATATGAAGCCCATCTCGTTGGCAATTTTCGTAAACGCTGGAGTCTTAGAAAACAATCCATCTATAGATTTCAAAACACAATACGAAGTACAATAGTCCTCTCTCTTCTTGCGCGCGCTTCGTATCCAAGTTGAGAGGCCATGTAAGAAGTTTCGAATGGACCAATCCCTACTCCGCTACTGTGTCGCAAGTTGTCAACGAGTTGACGTTGATTGGTGGTGATTTATTCGATAGGTGTCGACTCTCATGGTTGAAATTCGTATCTCAATTTAGTAGTTACCTACTTATTAATTGAAGGCAGTTGTCGGTTACAGATACGGTTTCTGATTGGAGTTGATCGACCACAGCTGCCATTGGTCGTATATGCATCGCCATTGACATTGACGAGTTATCCAATGGCAGTAACGACTGGTGCTTTCCAGTTCTGAGTACGCAGGTTCTGATCGAGATCAAGGATGGAGGCAGTTGCGACCAGAACCAATGATGAGTTGCCATCTCAACAATGAGATGCATTTTCCCCTCCAAAAAAAAACCCCTCTTCTCACCTCTGCACTTGTAAACCAGCACCATCCTCGCAAGAACTAGAAAAGCAAACTCTCAGCTGCACAGCATTGACCGTTACTCGTCAGCTTTAAACCTACCTCATCGCTGTCATAATCATGGAAACAGCCATGGATAAGATCCTATTCGCTCGGTACTTTGAGTCGCCGTGAGCCAAACCACTGACCAGTTTGTGAAAAGCCGAGCAGCTGCCCAAAAGCCTCCCCATGCCTTTGGCCTTTGTCGAATCACATCCCTCCCCAACCATCTGGGCCAGTGGAAGCCATCCCCGGCGCCAGCAACGGCTTCAGCGACCAAACAGGTCTCTGACAGGAGATTTTTGGGCCAGGATGATGGCGACTAGGGGCTATTCGAGAATAAAAAAAGCAAGACGCTAAATTCACGGACGCCGACTCTGTCGAATCAAGATGCCTCCCGCCCCCCTGCTCACATCCTGCCTCTACGCTCGACTAGGCGTAGCCTGTTGCCGCTGCTTTTAACGCGACTATCACCGCCAAAGCCAACCAATCCCAATCAATTTTGGCGACCAAACAACTTCCAGTGCTGCCATTACAGCGCCTCCCTCCCACAACACAATCATCCACCCATCCATGGAATCCGAGTTATTGAGCCGCCGGCCAACAAGTCCATAGCCAACGCTCCGATACGCGAGTTACTGAGTTGCAAGAGATACGTTTCCACAAGATCTCTATCACAGTCTGTAACCAGCCGTTGGCTCGTGGCCAGTCTGCCAGGACACCCTCAGTTTACTATGACTGTTGTACAGTCAGTTCCCAACAGCCTGACACAGCCGACCTGACTTGTCGCTGTCACCAGCATAGCGCGCCATCCGCCCGCCGATTGGCAGTTCCCGGGCAGGAAAGAGTGGCAGAGATAGAGTGACATTATCAAGCAGACTGCATCAACCGCCGTTGCCCACTAAGACGACCACGCAGTCACATCCTCGCAGTACCCTCTTGCAGACCGCAAAATACCATCCATACATAGGTGAAGAAGGTGGCTGGACCGACTCAAATCGAGGAGAGCATAGGTAGCAAAGTGAAGCAAAGAAAAGCACTAGCAGTGCAGAGGAACATAATCACAGCTGTGCACCCTTGGCTGGCTTATTCGCGTCGCTTCTCGTGCAGTAGCCGCCTGCACTTCCGTACGCGCCTTCTGCTGCTGTTTCTGCTGCTGCTGTGTTGCGCTGTCGCTGTCACTGTTGCTTGCTCTCTTATTGTCGTGTGCTGCTCTTCCCATGTTGCTGCTTTGGTGGTTGTTCCGCCCGGCCCCGTCTGATGGTTTCCCGTATATCCACACATTTAGCTAGGGTCGTTTCCATCAATACACGCCTCTCAACTTCTACCCCTTCACCCTTGTAACCCGTCATAGCTCCACATTGTTACAACTGCTTCACACCCCTTCCCTTCTTCAAGCGCCCACCTCTTCCAATTTCATCCTTCGGCGCCAAACACTTGACGCAGTCCTTTCCTTATAACCATCTGGTGCTGCCTTCTCCTACCCTCTGACCCTCGCTTTTTCTCCAGTCAGTCAGTCAGTCAGTCTGTTCGCTCGCTCGCTGCTTCTATCTGCCTGTACTCTTAATCCCCAGTGCTTGGGATTGGCTGCTGGTTCACATCTACATATTCAACCAAGCTCGCACTTATTCAACTCACCCATAATAAGCCTTGACCTCGAAATCTACGGTCAGATCAACCGCCGTCATGCCTCACACCAAGCCAAAGTTGGGGAAGCTCACCACTCCCGTCACCGCTACCTTTCCCTCCGAGATCACTTCGGCAACTCCTATCTCGGCTGTTTCGTTCACCTTCAAGCCTGACCCGGATTTTCTCAAGACGCCCATAAGCCCACCCATGGCCTACACTGATTTCCTCACCAAGGCCATGGCCCTCAACTCTCCTGCTACGAGCTCTGGCTTGACAACCCCAGACTCTCTCCCGGATACGGCAACTAGTGAGGAAACCGACACCTCTTGCAAGCGCGAAGCTAGTCCTCCATCATCAGCTTCAAGCATCACCTCCAAGGCTTCGGGCCGTCCAACTCCTCCAGCGACGGCCCCCATGGTGCCTCCTAGTCCCTTCACCTGCGCTGCCCCTATGTCTGCACCCCCTACTGGCCCAGCTTGCTTCCCAAGCCTCAAGGTGCCTCCCAGTCCAAGTGTGTCGTATATCGACTCCCCAATGAGTGCAAGCACTGCTCGATCACCTTTTAGTGCCAGACCAGTCCATTCATCAGTGTTTGACTGGGACGCGGCTCTGAAGGCTCGCTTACTAGAGAAGAAGAAGCAAAAGACTTCACGGACCAGCGTACGACACATTCGAGAAGTGGTGACGAGAACAGTCACATACACTCCTAGGATGGCACCTGCACCAAAGGGCAAGAGGCGCAAGGTTGAATAGACCTACTTTACCTCGAGTCGTTATCTGAACACTCACACCGATCATCTATTCAACCGACCCACAACTATTAACGATCCTTCGAATACATAACGAATTTTCTTTTGTTTAGACATGCATTACAATCAAGATATACCGAAAAACGACAAGTAGGCGGAACACACACACGCACACAAGGCAAAGCTTGGAGCAGGCCTTCGACACTTGGCGGCGAAATCTATCGCCCTTATCATTCAATCATTCTCTTGTTGAAATTTATTTGATACGCCTTGAAAGGAGTTGAACTGGAAACGGAATGACACTACTGGAGCTACTTGGGTGGCACGACTGAAGGAGTTTGACGGCGTTTGACAGTTTCATTATCACTTGGCGTTGCTGTTCCCTGGGGGCTTAGCATCGACCAAGAAGCAAGATACCAACACATGAGGAGGGGGAAGGGGCTGGGGACAGAGAGAGCAGAGATCTGCGACTAGGAAGTAGTCGACAGTCAGAGCTAGGCACTCAACAACGTAGAACCTTCAGCAGGGGTTACGTGAAAGAGAAGGAGAATTAGGGAACGCTTTGAACGATGTGGACCCGTGTACCGGGCACAAAAGCAGCTCGTGGTAGCGTTTTTAGTACAAAATACACAAAGCCATGGGCTGTTTCAACATCAATTTTTGTCGCGTGCTCTGATCTGTGTCCTGTTGGTGACGGAAACCGACTGACTGGTACGTACATGATCATATGAGTCAAGGTAGCCGTCCACAACTAGAAGCGATCTGTGGCAAACCTCACCATCATCTAAAGAACTATCGTGTTTGTTTCCTCTTGTGGTGTTGTTTATTTGTTTGTTTATATGGATCTGTCATGGCCGAGCTGGCCGCATAACGGGTATACCCTCGACGTCTATCTGGGTCGCAGAGACGGCCGTTTTGCAGGCCACCAGCTCGAAGGTTCTCTTGCAGAAACCCACCCCGCACTTGTCTGCCTTATTATCGCTCTAGTATGTTAATCTCGTCGTAAGAATATTTAAACCCTGGTTCCTTGTAAAGTGGTTTTTACATGGGTGGTTGAGCAGGCACCAAGCACAGCTAATAAGATATCATCTCGACAAACCCCCCCATTAATGAAATCGAATACCGAAGGGAGGAGACACGCGAATGAGCGGGACTTTGTTTTTTTCTTCTCTTTCGTGTTTCGCGATCTTTGTTATGATGGTATGCAAAGACGTGAATCGAGTACAGTACTCCACTGGGTCGACTTTGGGGTCGCAGGCACGGGACGTATGCAGTCCAGACACGAATAGAAACAAGGCGAAAAAAAGGCATACAACTGCTCGTGACATGGTTCAGGTAGTTCTCTCCACTGCGGTGCATCTTGAGCCTCTTTAGTTTTGTATTTCATCACAGTATGTTCTGCAATGTCTTGTGGTTGCAGTGAATTAGTACAGTACCATAGTCTCTGTAGAGAGAGAGGACTGAGGACTGAGGACTTTGAACTCCAAGAATGGATGCCGGCACACCCACCCCCGCTAGGTCGTCCGGGGCTCAATAGTTAGCTTCATCAACCCCTGGAACCACCAGAAAGACTTCTCTGGCGACCCAGCACCCTGGTCCAAGCGGGGCTTGTAAGCGCCGGGTCATGGAGAGCCAAGCGTGCTATTGGATGGGGCCGGCGAGCCCATCACCCACCATCGAGCGTTGGTTGATGTGATTGGATTCTTGCTAAGCGCCCAGGACTTGTGGGTATTTGTGTTGGTGAGGACTTGGGCTTCTCTTTGAGTTGAAGAACATGGCTACATGCAGAAGCGTCCTTTCTTCATCTGCTGTAATGGTAATGCCTGCGCTATATGTCTTGTCGTGTCGTGTCGTCTCGTCTGGCTTTCAGGTGTCTCCATCTCCGTCCGCGTCCGCGCTGCGTCTGTCTCCCCTCTCGCTCTCGTTGCTACTCTTGTCGACGCGTTTGGCGCATGCTACCCAGCCTACTGCGAGGGATACAGCGCGCTAGCTGCACATAGTAGGCGTGTTTTCATTTGTTTCTCCAAGTCTTGTCACCGAGAGATATCTGCCTGTGTTACTGAAATCAACAAATCCACTTGTGACCAGCCATGTAAAGATTCCGCGCCCAAGAACATAAGCTTGGGCTCTTCGCGCCTAAAGCAGCCTCATCACCTTTCGTCATCCAGGTGACCAAGCCTTTGGAACGCTATCACCCTTTGACCATGGCACAGGTCCGAGTGGTGAAAAGCGCACGAGCTACCCCGCGTACTCTTCTCTTATTTTGAAGCCCGGCTCCTCGTGGCATCGCGCCCAGCGACTCCAGTAACAAGCGGAGTAGAGACTACAAGCCCTAGAACCGTAGCCCACATTACCAGCGACCTGTCCAACCCGATGAGAACGCCAGTGACGAGATGCGCATGTGGTGATGTGACAGCCCTGCGCATCACACCGTCTCCATTGCTGTCTTTCCATTGGCTACCATGCCGGCGAGGCACCTAGTCGACGCCTCCCGCCTATCTGAAACTGGGAGGGAACCCTCAGCCCTGAGTCTGAGATTAGAAACGAGTTTGAGACCGTTGTGACCGGGCTGCTGGGTGGAACAAGGCCCCTTGATCATGTTTCCAAGCTGCTTTGGCGATTGCTAAATTTGGCTCAAACACCAAATCGCATCCAATAGCAACGTAGTTTATGGCTCTTCCTTGCTCATGGCCATATATAGTGTTTCCAGAACTAGCAGATCGCCGTGTCTTGGCTGAGCTAGAAGCGCATTGTGAAATTACAGGGCAGCGGGAAGTTCGAGATGCATAGCTCAACTTATTGGAAACATCAGTGCCCCGTTCAAGCTGTATGTGATTCAATATCACCAAAGATCCTTTGAGAGACTGAGCCGTTATGCAAGAGTCCTGGACATGGAACTATTCCACCTCTCTCACTTCCTTTGCTACGGCGTTGCAAAGTGCGACCTTGACCCCGGCTCCTGTAAGAACATGGATCCAAAGCCTTTGGGTATCACTGAGCCGGTCATTTGCGCTCTTGACTTCAGAGAACATAACCTCTCCCTTTGCTTTTCCAGGTTCCTTGGTTTGTCCTTCCGGCGCATCGGCGGTACGCCACAAGATGAGATCCGGAATACCTCCGCCTCGCTGCCTATACTCCTGTGCCATCACCTTGCAGACCGCTGCAAGAGCGCTGCCCTCGAAGCACTCAACAAGCTCCACGAGGTCATCAACCTCAAAATCCCAGTTCAATCCTACCACACTCGTTTTCTTCTCGTGCTCCTTCTCCCAGACCTCACGCAATAATTTTGGCGCTTCTCCATTCGCAATCTCAACGAGTCTGTGATTAATCTCGGAGGCTCTGGATGGATAAAAGGCATCAGTATGCAGATCCAGTGGACATGTTTGATAGGCAGTCTGGAAAACATTCGGGATGTAGATGAATAGAATGTCGTAGAAGAGGTATGCAAAGAGCGTGCGTATAATCCCACCCTCGGCGTGATATCCCTTCCACCCTTCTGATCGATATTGACTGAGGCACATTGCTTCAACATTGCACTCCTCTTTTGTGTCCAGCTCATCGAACCATATCGTCTTCGTTGATACTTGGCGACCGGGCTTGGCGACAATGTCCTTTTTTATCTGAATTCCTTCAATTGTGTGCTCAATGGGCTTTGCCAGGTTCACATGACCAAAGTCATGCTGCAAGCGACGTGGAATGCGCAGTTTCTTTTCGAGCTTGACCAGTCGCTTTTGTAGATCATAATGAAAGATGAGATGACAGTCTGGGTCCTGAAGTCCAGCCTCGCAAGTGGCTACTGCTATCTTCTTCCAGTGCTTTTTTTGTTGTTCGGGGTCTCTAAATTTAGGATCTGGGTCCAAAGTGGGCATATAGTGTTCCTCTAACAAAGCTTTACGCTGATACCAGCCGCCTCTCCTGGCTGGATGGAACAATCGCTGGTCGAGAAGCTCGGTAAGCAGTTGATATTCCTTGAGATGTTCCTTAAGCTTTGCGAATATTGGTGCTGCTTTGTGAACGATTCTTGTGTAAGAATGACCGGGTGTGAATCGTCTCAGGTAGGCGCCTTCGCCCATCTCATATACTGTCTGCTCTTTTTGCTGCTCTTCCTTAACTAATGTTTTCCATCGGGGATAAACTCTGTCAAAAATTTCAATCATCATTCTGAGACCTTCCTCTCCAGGCGGACTGTGGAACTCCAGATTGTCGACTTCCGTTTCCATGCGAATAGCGGATTCATATTCCAAGAGGTGTAGACGCGATGCAAATATCGTGGACGTTCTGCAGACGATGTATTCAGGGAAATGGCGCCGTGCAATTTTGGCAAGAATAATCGTTGTAAGAGACTTCTCTGTCCATTCGGTCGACCTGTAGAACACCAAATGAACACGCTCAAAAAGTTTAAAAACCGATGGCGATGATCTAATACAAGGGCCTAGGATACTCAGTATCTTGGTCAGAAAGTGCTGCTCCCGATTCGAATTTTCTCGTCGAAGTTTCGCCTTGACTATTGCTTTGGCGTCTTTGTTTTCCTGGTCATCAGAAGGTGAGTCACGGCTATTATGTCTGCTAAGACCAACCGACATCAAACCAGCCTGTTGCTTGCTCATTCGTACGAGGGAACTGATGAGTTCTGATTTGTTGCGCCCTTGGATCTTGGCCTCTTTTGCCAAGTCTTTGAGCTCATCCAGACTAAGTAGTGAAGCAGCTTCTTCGACAGATTTTATGTGTTCCTCCGATGCATCTGCAAACGTAAATACATCACCCAACTTGGACTCTTCAAGTTCAATACCATGAACAGGGCTCAGTGTCGGAGGAGTGGTATCGTGCGGCAATGCACGAGATGATTGCAGGGCAGCTATGGCTGCTTCAAGATCTGAGATGTCGCTGTGATAGCCAAGACGGTTATGGCGATGCCACCATGCAGCTTTTCTGAGAAACAATCGAACATATCTGGCTTAAAGTGAGTGGATGGTTCGTTACGCATTTAAGAAAATGACATACAGATATTGAGCCTCGTACTCTAGAGCTCTCCATTGTTTAAAGACGTCATTTTCTTTTTCATCAAACAGATGAGACTCTTCTTCTAAAACGGTATCGAGAGCAAGGTTGAAGGCATCCACGTATATAGAACTTTGGCCTTTAACCCAGAGAGGCTTCGGCTTTTCTGGTGCGCCATTGTCATCGTCATCTTCTTCAGCTGCCGGTTGCGATGACTTCATCGCCTCGTACTCTTCGATGGCCTCTTTGCCTTCAGCTGTAGGCGGTAATGCGCTTTCGATGTCCGTGGGCCTAGAGTGTCCCTCGTCTTGTTGTTCATTTTTATTTGACTCATTACGTTGGATTCTTTTGGCTGGTGACGTCTCGTTTCTAGAATCATGCGAATGATCACTGTCGGAACCTGGTGATCCCTGCCGTTTAGCTCGCTTTAAAGGTCTCTCCTTGTCAGGGGAGTCAGGTCGAATTTGACCTCGGAGTTGACTCTGCGGCTTTGGAAGCCTTGTCACAAATGCGTCCATATTTTCACATCAGCCATATCAAACCAGCCAAAGAAGAAGTGCTGTATGATTGCCGAGTTGTGAAAGTACTGTTGACGTATAGGTTAAGTCCAATATGCGGACGCGATAACAAGCTACGAGGTAAGGCACGTTCGCTGACACGAAAGCACATGACTTCGTGGGTGCTCTTTCACTGTTACAACTCCGATCCGACAATCAACCGGCGCGATTGATCAATGTACAATTGACCAACATCATTCCCCTTTGCATCTTGTTACTGATTTTAGCTTTCATACATATCATTCAGTAGTCGCAGTCGCAATCACAACTGTTGATAATTCGAATATCGAAATGGCCGAAGAAACTTCCAAGAACGAAACGGCAACGAATACACCCCAAATTGCAGCACCAGCTGATTCTGCTGTCAATGGACTCCCCGCAGACCAACCGAAGGATGTGGTGATGTCTGATGCGCCAGTTGATCCTGTATGTGCCCCTCCCCGTGGTTATCGCGACAGATAATCCCCTTCAAATCACCCTAACTCTGCATGGCTCCCCTAAATGCCTTGCGCTCGAAGCTGTATCGACTAATACCCTCCAGTCATCTCCCGCTCCAGCTGCTCATGCGCCCAGTCCTGTACCTGCACGAACAGGAACTCCAGCTCAGGGATCTAGAGCCGCCTCCGCACACCCGGATTCTGGTGTCAATATCCCAGCTGAAGCTCCTCTACATGGTGACTCGACACGGCGATATCTCAACACAAAAGTCACTGGAGCGCTGCTCGAAGGCATGAAGCAACTGGCTAAAGACAAGTAATTCACCACCATCTTAAGTTAATCTCAGAAAGACATAGATTACTGACAGTGTGCCAGACCGAGTGACCCCCTCCGAGTCCTCGGGGAGTATCTCATTCAAAAGTCCAAAGATTTGGAAGGGACTGGTTAGGTCTTAGATATCGGATCACTATTCACATAAAAGAAGCAATTGGTAATGGCAGGCATAGATGGCGTTCAGGTTCAATAATTTATCGTCACTGGGTTGAGTAGCACCCATCGCATACACATGCGTTCAGCGGTCGAAGAGCTTTCTATTTGAGCAGTCGACTTCGCTGTCGGTCCTCCCAGACAGGGCGAGCATAATAAGCATCATGGCTCTAAATGCAACTTTTTCCATAATTTGTCCTCCAACTCCATGACCCGGGAAACCATCACCTCCATCCAATGCGGCGAGCCGTCGTCTTAGGTCCGCTTAAGCGACGATGGTGCTGGCAGTGGCGGACTCGTACTTCCAGGTGGGGGGAAGGACACCGACGGTCTTGTAGTAACGAGCGAGACTTTCAAATGTTAGCCTATCACGAGCCAAAGAGACAAAGCTCGAGCTTACCGGTGAATTCGGGACTCAATGAGAATGAGACGGAACTTGGAGTCCTTGTCCTTGCGGTTGCGCTCAAGGTGCTTTCGGACGGCAACAGCCTGGCAAATAGGTTAGCGGGCTATTTCAAGCGTAAAAATTCCATCATGACTTGCGTACCTTCTTGATAAGCATGTACAGATCCTCGGGGAGCTCGGGGGCGAGGCCTGTTAAATCACTCTGTCAGTCTCAACCGCACAGAGGCATTAGGGAGATGGTGTTTCTCCAATATAGATGTATTCGTTCCACCGCCACATCCATTTTTTCGTTCAGGGAATCGTACCGCTAGACTTGAGGATTCGGAGAATTCGGTTACCTGAGTTGTGTGCGTTAGCGCCTTCAAATCTTCCATCATGTCGTTTCGCGCGCAGTTCTTACCAGTGACGTGCTTGACCTGGGCAATACCGTGAGAGTCACGGAGGATGACACCGATCTGAGAAGGAGTGGCACCCTTACGGGCGAGCTTGGCGATCTGCTCGACGACCTGCTCGGGGGTGGTCTTCAACCACGCAGGGGGAGATCGAGAGTAGGGGAGAGCGGAGGCAGAAATGCCCTTTCCCTTGCTGTGAAGACGGCCCATCTTGTCTGTTTGGCGTGGTGGTGCTGGATGAGGATCGGTTACGGAGTTGCGAGCGAAACTTTCAACTTTCAAAGATTTGGAGGTCTTTTCGTTGTGGGATAGAAAATCACTTTCCGCTTAGTTAGGGCAGAGTGGTGCTATCTGATTGGGCGGTTCAACTCCATCGATAACAGTCACGTGAGTGGTCCGAGCGCGGCGCCAATGTCGCGTTACTTACTCATCTTCCTCTTCTCTTGCTTGTCGCGAGTTGAAGTTTTTTCTTTTCTGATATCAAACAGCCCAGAGCTTCTGCCTGGGCTTTGCGCAAGTTCTACTAACTATGGTAAGTCAGTCTCAATGCATTTCTTAGTATCTTTTCCAACCTCGACATGATGATAAATCACTTTTATTTTATTCTGGTACCTCTTATGTTAGAGCCTTCGGGTTCAATGAATGAACAGGACTTCTGATCTCTGGTTATTTTCCAAGTTTTACTTGTTTACTCTGTTATACTTTGACACTAACAGAATGCAGATCTCATTAGTACAAAATATATTCGAAACGTTAAATAGCTATCAAGTAAATGTCATCGTTCATTGATTTAAATTTGCTTCAAATGATTTTTCGTCTCAGTTACAAGTGATGCATCGCAATGCTAGTAATGAGTGACACTGGATATCAAGCGCGGCGGCGACTGGATAACCTTTAAGCAGACTCAGCGGTAGATATAGTTCTTCTAGCGCTTAGGACATAGACACCTGTTGATCTTTTGACAATGTAATAAATTTAATGAGACTAGTGCTTGTCATATCCTCTGTTTTACATTTTCGATTGAAACGATATCCGTACACCGATAGAAGACCCCCGCCCCTTTAGTCCATTAAGCCAAGATGACCAGCTCATCTCTTTCTGCATCTGGCCTCGAATGGAACCGATATTAAGTATGATCTTACCACGCGCCAACATCGAAGTTCTCCTGTGTATTTTGTTAGTCGTTGCAAGACAAAGCTCGGGAACTGTAGACGTACCTCTGGGAAATATGTCGTGACAACAGTTCTATCGGCAAACTTGCGTCCCGCAAGGGCCTGCAGAGCCTTTGTTGTGTCCTCGGTGTTCTCGTACTTGACAAAGATTTTGCCCACGCCGGCAGATTGCCTGCTGCCACCAGTAGGTCTGGGAACCTTGACGTCAAGGATTTTGCCATACTTGGAGCATTCTTCTCGAACGTCCTCACAGATTTCTAAGTATGGAATTAGTATATGCTCACATGACTAGACGGGGTCACATACCTTCATAATCGTCGTTATCCAGAAGTTCCTCGGCAGTGACCATGTTGAGAAGCTGAAGCACACGGCTGCTCTCAACCTCATTGGCAGTCTGAGAAGCAAGACCACTGATAGCAGTAATACCCACGTCGAAGTTGGCGACTTGTGTAGGACCGATACTGGCCTTGCTAACCTTTATCTGCTTGCCTCCAATATCCATGCCGTTGAGGGTATCAAGAGCGGTCGGGTTAGATGCGGCAGGGTCTTGGTACTCAGCAAAAGCAATACCCTAAGATTGTTAGACAAGAATTATACCAACAGACCAGGCTACTTACTCTGGATTCTTCAGTTCCTCTATCCTTGACTAAGACGAAAGCCTTGGGCTTACCAAAGCTTGCAAGAAGCTCGATGATCTGCTCTTCTGTCAAGAAAGTTGGGATGTTGGTAATGCTGAGTTTGTTGACGGTATCGGGAACGATATTAGAGACGACCTCTGGGTCGTAAGAAACTTCCTCGGTCACTGCAGGTACCACGTAGTCACGAGGTCGGCGAATCTCAAGACCGCGGTGCCCTCCATCTGCGCCATTTGAAGCATCACTGGCCTCCATAGAAATGCCGTCCAGCGCCAAGGCAACAGTGGTCTCTGGGGCGTCCTTGAACTCGAGAACGGCAAACGAGCGGTCGTTGGAGAATTGACACAAGACACAGGGATCGGTGGTATTGATAACGTTGAGTCCGTTGAGTTGGAGGTTGAAGAATGAGATGAGGGCGTCCTCGCTTGTGCCCGCGGGGATCTTGGAAACCAAAAGTCGCTTCGACTGACGAGAGTTGCTCGCCTTTAAACCAGCACTTGTGACCTGTCCCCCAGGCTGGTTCATGAAGGCCTGTAGTTTGCTAGGATCCATGGGTTGCTGTCGAGGTGCACCGGGGAGAGGGAACATGCCCGAGAGCTTAGCCTGCTCGGCCGTAACATTTTCATATCCTGGGGGCTTGATGTCCCATTGTGTCAGGCGACGCTTGCGCTCCAGGACAGAAACGATGTTTGTCAGGTCCGGAGTCGGCTCTCGCTTTTTCGGAGGCGGGCTTGCGCTTCGGCGTTCCTGTTGCGCAGGAAACCTGTCCTCACGTCGGTCCCTGCCTCCTCCGCGACGGCGATCATCGTAAGGATCTCGCTCTCGCCTGCTCGGTCGATCGTCGTCGTCGCGCCTGGCATCCCGACGGGAAGATCCTCGGTCGCGGTCCCATTCGCGGTCACCACCTCGTCTCTCACGGCCAGAGTATCTGTCCTCGCGCTCACGGTCACGGTGGTTTCGGCTGGAGGAGTAGGCATCGGCATCGCCCTCACCTCGTCGATGGCTTCGATGGTCTGGTGAGCGAGAGCGCCTGCGGTCCCGGTCTCGGTGTCGGTCTCGACGATCATCTCTATCACCTCTGGGCTGAGTAACAGTTAGATTTAATCTTGCTTTCAAGATGAGATTGTGTACTTACAGGATAATCTCGTCCACCCCGACGCCCGTCTGCAATGAAAGGGTTAGCGACGCGACGCGATGAAGTGCCAGGACTTCAATCAACTTACCTCGGGAAGAGTAGCTATCACCGTTCATTGTGGTAGCAATTATAAGCGACTCCTAAGATTGAACAGATTCTCCGGAATTGATAAGTGTGAATGGTTAGCAGGCGGAGTCGTTGATTCAAGCTGCAACGAAGTTCCAATTTCAAAGAGCTGGTAGGCATCGCGCGAGGCTGGAGCTTTTTTTGCCAGGAGACGCTAGCGCTAGTAGGTTCTAGGCCTAGCGTGGAATTAGACTGGGCCTGACTTTGCGAAAAACTCAGCGCCATAGGTACCTACAGTACAGTAATAGGCAGTGGAGCGTTTCGACTGAGTAAAGGGAACCTCAGTTATCAGGTAGTTTAGGTTGGAATTTAGGTTGGTACTGTATGAGATTCTAGCACTCAAATCTGTTACTGCCTGTTCGGCTTTCTGATTTTTTCTCTGTACATTTCTATACTCATGAGCTATGGACTATTGGAACTTGATGGCCTTTCCAGAAAGTGAGGACGATCCCTCCTGCTAAATTGTTCCAGGGACAATAAGCTTGAGACGCCACTGAAGTCCCCAAGAGCCAATTACATCATAAGGACTTAGGGTTGTCTATATCTTTCAACTTTGCTCTACCACTCACTCACCTTGTCATTGATTCTCGTCTTTATTGAATGTATCGCTTTATATAAGAAACAAACTTTGAATCTTTGTATTATTCTCGATGTCGATTGTAGGAAAGACGGACTGGCAGAAGCTGCCTGTCACTCTAGGAGAGCTTTGCATTAACACCACTCTACGATGCGGACAGTCTTTTAGATGGCAAAAGATCAACCATGAGTGGTGAGTCTATAGTGCAATTCCCGAGATAGCATACCAGCCCAAGTGTTGACTCTCTCAGGACCTGCACTTTACATGGAAGACTTCTTCGTTTGAAGCAGGATTCTACCCATTTGCACTACAAGGTCACCTTCCCAGCACCCAAACCCAAGACACCAGAGCCCAAAGACACAGAGTCTCTTCTACGGCACTACTTCAATCTAGACACTGGGCTTGAAGCTCTCTATAAGCAATGGTCGGAGGTAGATTCCAACTTCCGAAAGAGAGCACCGCAGTTCCAGGGTGTTCGCATTCTTAGGCAAGATGCTTGGGAAACCTTGATATGCTTCATATGCAGCAGTAACAACAACATTGCACGTATATCACAAATGGTGAGCGAACAGAGTACTCCCCTGAGCTTAGAAGCTGACACTGTATTAGGTGCATAAGTTGTGCCTGCACTACGGTCCGTTGATTGCATATATGGGCGATGAAGCATTTCATGACTTTCCAAGTCCTCAGGCACTGACCGGCGATGGCGTAGAAGCCCATCTAAGAGCTCTAGGGTTCGGATACCGGGCCAAGTATATCGCCGAAACAGCCAAGATTGTTGCCCAAGAGAAGCCCAGCAACTGGCTGGAGAGCCTTCGAAATCCTGAACAGCCAGGTTTCAATACGACACCCGTACCCAAAGAGCAACACGCAACCTACAAGGAGGCACAGGAACAGCTTCTCACATTGAAGGGTGTTGGACCTAAAGTTGCCGATTGTGTCTGCCTAATGGGTCTTGGATGGGGAGAGGCAGTCCCAGTTGATACTCACGTTTGGCAAATTGCTCAAAGAGACTACAAGTTCGGGAAGTCAAAAGCCAAAACACTCAACAAGGCTACGTACGACGCTGTTGGAGATCACTTCCGGAATCTGTGGGGATCATATGCTGGCTGGGCTCATTCAGTCCTCTTCACTGCTGACCTAAGGGAGTTTGCAGCCCAAGCTGCAAAGGAAGACGAACCTACCGTGGTCAAGATAAGCTATAGAACTTCTGAAGACGGCACCCGGAAAGATGTCGAGAAGACAATTACTATAACAGACAGCGACACCGAGGTCAAAGAAGAAAAAAGCGAAGTTGTCGTCCCCAAGCTTGAGGAGAGAACTGAGGAGAGTAAGCAATTGAGAAGATCCAAGAGACAGCGTACTTCGTGATGAAGCACAGTGGTATATAGTTCCTGGCGAGCCTCAGGGTATCAGAAGAATTGGCCCCGAAAGCATAAGAGATAGATAATCCGGTCACTTTGTGTTGGCCAACACTAGCACTTAGGCTGCTTTACTAT